ATGGTTATTGAGTTGAGCAATGAATCTGACGTGCAGTTGGACCTCGTGAAGCACACAGAAAGGTGCTAAACAGCAGCTCTGTGAGATGGATATAGAATGATGCGAAAAGCTTGAAAAATGAGGAATCCTCAGTTTGCGCAGCAAGTTAATTATTCTTAGCGTACAAAATGTCCGCGTGCAAAACACTGTCTGTATAACAGAACATGAAACAACTATAGTCATTGCAAATTTTTCCACGGTTAGGCGCGCATATAAAACGAATTTAACATGCACTCATTCTCCACATACCTTCTGTATTTGACCTGACATAGAAGTTTGAATCGCACAAATCTGGCTCTGTTGCCTGTAATGCGATGCTGATGGTCCAAGTTCGCATGAATCGACCGATTCGAATTCTAATGTAGTGACGATATGCTGTCCTAAAGAAGCGAATAGATCAAATGGTAGCCTCGTTCGTTCTCAACGTCATCTGATTTTACCATCGTGATCATCCAAGGTGTAGATTTCAAACCGTGTCCCCGGTGTGAGCATCTGAACGTCACTCGAATCAGGAATGCCTATTGGTTGTACAGTTGGGCTAAGAGTGATTATTTCTTTGATGTGAATCAGAGCGACATCATTGGTCGAGCTGGAGGGCACATATCCTTGCTTTAATATTGCCGCCCTTGCACTGGCGACTACGAAACTTCTTTTATAGCTAAAGTCGTGCACACCAAAGACAAGTTTTATTGTTGTCAGGTCCATTAAAGTGTTCCAGTGACCGCTGAAAATAGATTTGGTTTCATTGTGGAGTAGACAGTAAGCATTCACATTAATCAACGTTTATGAACATATACCGCTAGTGCGACGACTTTACCTGTAGCTGGTTCAAACAACGATTATTTATTATTATGTTGTTAATATGAATTAAATATTTTGGCATTTTGAGATGGTATCGTTGCTCTTACTGGCAAGCGATCTCGAAACTGATTAGAACCTCACAGAAAGCTGAATTTCCTTTAATTCTCTTCTGTGAGCATATTTTTGGGGGATATGGGCGATGGTTCACTCGGGTTGGAACGGTAAATCTACTTTCTAAAAGCGACTTACAAAAGCTCTCAACAATGGGCAAGATTATCGAAGCATAAACGGGCACTCTTGAAGCATCAAGTTGGAGTTTGCGAGAAAAAGTCACATTTAGAATAAATTATAACCATTATCATGACAAATATGATCTGTCCAGCGAAACTTGCGTAACGTAATTTTTCCGCTTATTTTGAATCTCCTCGTTTTTCAAATTCGATTCTAGAGTCTCGTCGGGTGAGGTGCCAAGGTCAGATGTCGCAGACTGGGGCCACAGGTTCAGGATAGTGGGACAAGACTCAGATACGAGGGTTACGTGCATAACGTTTGGCGAACCCGACAATTATGCAGTTGTGGATAACAGGAGACGAGGGTGCGGCGAACCCACCTTTGGCAAAGTTGGCTCTAGAAAATACCGCAAGGCGCAAAGGGAACGGGATGACGTATCGAGTATCAAATAACCATGCTGCCAGTTCGAACGAGCTACAGTCCGGTTGAGAAAAACAAGTTGGTCTCAGAAAGGCAGCAGGACGATCACAGAATGGTGAATTTCTCTGAAATCTCTTATACGCGAATGATTTTGTAGGATCGACTTACAAAAGCTCTCAACAGTGGACAAAATTACAGAAACGTCAAGATGGAGTTCGCAGGAAAAAGTCGCATTAAGAATGAATTATCAGCATTATTATAAAACATATAATCATTTCTTCAGAGTAAACGCCCTGTTCAATAAATAATTTCTCCGCGTATTTTGTCTCTTCTTCGTTTTCCAAAGGATGTTAGACAATAAGAACGGGTTGAACGAAGCATGGCAGCCAGATTCGCATTAGATGAATGTCATAAACTGATTTAATATCAGAGGTTGGAAATCAGTTTCATGCAGATTTGACCATTTAGTATCCTTCTATCTAAATCTCAAGGTTAGGAATCACAAGAACTGATTAGTAAATGGAGTACAAATTCCATTTGGCTGCAATCATACATTAAAACTTAGGCCATGACCTCAAAACGGGCGAATGATGAGGCCTGATTTGCAGGTTGAGTAAAATATTTTATTACATTCGCACGAATAGAAGAATCAAATTAAAGCACCAATGTGACGAAACGATGAAGTGAAGAAATTTCAATAATTTTGTCATGTCAGCATTTATAATGAGAACAGCCTTGCCAACAACACATGAACTCAACAGTCTTCCACTGACCGTTGTTCGAGTCTCAGCCAGAAAAGACCTTTCTATATATTGTGATGTTCCAAGATGAATACCACCAATTTACGGCGTCAAACTCTCAAGCTAAACAGAACTTGTTGCTGATTGCTGTACGACAGAGATCAACAGCGTATAAGTTCCATCAAGAAAATACCTCTGAAGAAACTGAAAAATGAAAACGTTTTTGTACATCATGGTGATAACTATCAAATTATCAAGCCTCTCATCCAAGAATCATCCAAAGCACATCATCATTACAGTACATGAGATGAGGCACTTTTGAGTCCTGCGGAGGAGAAGCCCTCTGAGGATTGGTGGCTCTGCTTTATCGGTTCGAGGGATATGCACTCGCGCCGATTCCCACAAAGTTTTAGCATGGAACCACATTCGGTGAGGATGGAAGGCAAGCGAATGCCCGTCTAAGGCACCAGTCAGGCGTGGAGAGTAGATAAACCACGTTTTATGATCGAACAAACGGAAGGCATCCGGACGAACGTGGCCTCCTGTCCAGTGGGTGCATCACAAGTCTGGCTATATCATGGGATATTTGCATGGACGGTGGATTTCTGCAGCAGCTGATTCGTAAGTACGGGTCTGCGGTCGACGATTTTGCAGAAGTTGTCTCAGACATAGCGATGAGGTACCGGAGAGGCATGTTAACATCAAGGCGTGACAACGGCGATTCTGATTAATTACGATTCGTAAGTACAAGGATATGCGAGTTGTTGTTTTCATAAATCACGGAAGTGTACCACTGACAGATACGTAAGACCTTACAAATATCCAATTATTCTAACGGAATAAAATACCAAAAGAAGTACACACAACGCTTACAATGCTGTCATAGTAAAGCACCTCTGAGTTTGCTTGAAATTTCACACAGTGGAGGTGGCTGAAATAGCTTACTTTAAAGGGTAGCCACCGGACTGATGAAAACCACGACTTTCACAAATGTGGCATAGACTCAGTTTACTTACTCCTCAAGCAAGCAGTGACCAGGGACAACGACGAAATACCCTCCGCAGATGTCAACGAACGTTCCATGACAAAATGGAAATTCGCCCAAGTCCAAACGCGTGAGCATCACAAGGAACGGATGGGAGTACCGACTAAACTGTGTTTCGTTCATATATCTAAATGTTTTCTTCTCGAAATCGGCCACTCCGTTTCCGTAACGAAGCCAGGACGCGGAAGAAATCTGGAAATAAAAAAATAATTGACTGCTGACATCAGTGGGTCTAACAAGCATCGATTATTTGTCTTACCTCTCCTATCATCACCAAAATCAGTAGCAGCTGTTGAAAGAAGCTGCCAACGTGACTCATTTCCACGATCATTCCTTTCACCCGAATCACGCTGATCGAAATAATGTGAAATTCACTGCACATTTGCTTTTATATGACGGTAGATGAGTAACTGCAATTTTTGTGTACAGATGAGTATGCAAAGGCGGATCAAAAGGTGTAAAGATCACGTCACTGTACAAACGAGCCAATCTGTTTTGTGCATTTCACGACACAGCAACCCGCGAATCCAAAGATTTTCGATTGAAATACTTTCTTCACAGAGAAATAACGCTTATTAAGCAGTCAATAATTTAATTCCTGTCACGCAACCTCAACTCTGAACCACCTCAGAGAAATATTTATGGGAATTGTCTGTTTGATAACCTCAAAATCATTTATTTATTTTTTCCTTCGTACTTCGTCGTTGGCAAAATTCTTGGTCGCCGTTCGCAGCCTGTTTAATCATTGCTTTTCCTGGATTGTCTTTCCTGCCTTACTTCAGTGCTACACATAGAAGCACTTAGCTGCTGCCCCAGCGCACGCCTCAACACTGTTGAACGGGGTCCGACCTCACCAGCGCTGGCTGTGACCAATAAGCAGTGGAATATAGGCAATTTCGAGAGCATCAGAACGTTCTGGATTCGAAATCATGAAATTCGTTCCTCGGAGAAACGTAACAATGCTCAACGACAATTTTATCGGTATTACGGTTAAAGGTGGGGTTGTCAAGCACAACAACATATACGTTGATTGAATCTTCAGAGTTAAGAGCCCGTTGCTACGAAGTTCCCAAGATCATAGCCAGGGCTCCCTTTGGTGGGACACGCTTCATAGGAAATGCGCAACAATAGAAAATCTTCTGAGCGGTGAGACCCGTCGACAGTAGTGACAGGTGCAGGAGAACGAGCCGATTTCCAAGACACACTGCAGATACCTGCTGTTTACTTAAGTACACACACTCAATGGTTCTTTGAAGAAATTTATTAAGTCGAGGAACTATACGTCTTTTAACAAAAATGAACAGCTCACACAATGCGTTTCTTAGCGAAGTGTCAGCTATTTTTATGGTTTCCACGTTCTCTTGAACATATGATTGCACAACTGCCATAGCGAACAGAATTATTTCTCATTACAATGTGCATTTTAATCAAAAAGTTCTTGTGTATTTTGAAAGATGAACGAATTCTTTGGTTATACGTCGTACTTACCGCGATCGTGAAACACGCAAAATTTGTCTGAATATTTTACTTGCTTACTGTGGTATCATAAGCCTCAAATATTTCTCTTAAAATAGTGCCTGCTTCTCAGTTTGAACACCATATACGAAGGTTTAAATTTAGAGAACCGAATGCCTTCGTTAAACGAAGAGCTCGACATGCTAACGGACAGATGCCGATATGACAACAGGTGCTTCGATTAGGCCTTTACCTGTAGGCCAGACACAGTCAGTGTTTGTACAGGCACACCTCGACGCCTAGCTGAATGTTCCTCTCGATCGAGGTTTACACGCGACGGCGACTGAACATTTGTACCTTGCGCTGCACTCTTCGCGCCTCTAATCTTTTTCCCTCATTGCGATCGATGGAAACTCCAAACGAGGCTTCAGTGCTTGGTTTCTGAGGTAACGCTTGGCCAAGTGTGAGGTATTTCTGCAAAACGCTTTTAAAAACACCAAAACACCTCACGGAGCAGTGACACAGTAGTCAGTAATCGAAGATGATTTCTTGTGGTGTGGGTTGCAGTTAAAACCTGGAAAAATTTTTCTCATAACCGGTAAGTATCATCAATCAAAGAATTTTGCTCACGCTGCCTCGTGTAATCAGCTAAGAAAACGATAGCGATAATAGCGATATGTCCAGTTGTCAAAAACCAGATCCACGTGGTTTTCTGCTGAAGTGACAGCCGAATGTTCGAGATAAACTGTAGTGATGCAAATGTGAGTGTTTGATTCGGCTGCAATTCGCTCAAAGCCGCCCCTTGTTGACTCTCAGTAGCGGTCGGCAGTATAGTAAATAAAAAAACAACAAGTTCCACGCGGCATTAGAAAGTGTTCTTCTATCTTCGACGTCATCAGTTAAGAGCTATGCTAAATATGCTACGCGACAGATTTTGTCATTCAGAGCAATTGTGAAATAAATTGTTTTTTTTGCCTCGCCACCTGAGGTACTGAATAACTCTGCAATGACGCAGATAGCCGTTTAACGATCTGAGGTTGCTGTTGAGGGTTGCTTCTGCATCATATCCGGACGTTCAATTAAGCACGAGTTAGCACTGAATATTAAATAGC